GATGGACAGAGAAGCCTGGCAGGCTACAGTCCATGGGAGCCCAAAGAGTTGGACATGACTGAGAGACTAACATCACTTCAGTGCAATAAGGGAACTGTCCTATTCCCTTGTAGGTGAGAACCGGAAGTCACTTTACTAAGCTTCCCAAGTACCATGGTTACTAAATGTAGGTAAAGGCCATCACTTATTTTCCTGAATTTCGCCCATGATCAAAGTAGCAAAATGGCAACTGTAGAACATAGAGGAAAGCTAGGACAGAATAAAGAAAGAAGAAAGAATCTAGTACCTAGTACTGTTGCAGTTTTGGCATGTTTACTGTCATGCTAAAGGATTTAGGCCATTTACCACAAAGGTTATGGTTCTTGAAATGATGAATGTGCTTTATAAACTGATCATTTGGTGGTACTTTCATTATAATACTCCGAGTTAGCAGGTTTTGGACATTTACATGGAGGCTGCATGACAATATTCCCCTCATCAGGAGCTAGAACTTCAGTAGCAAAGTGTTAAATAATGTCAAGTGGTTTACACTGAAGTCCACACAGACTTTTGGTTCTGAGACTTGAAAGGCTGGATCTAAAATAGATCAGACTAAAATAAAAATGTAATTGAAAGTTTCAAATGCAAATCATAATATTGTTTAATGCCCAACGGGGCACTGGCCTTATTGATAAAAAAAAAGATAGGGCTATTGAGAATTCAATGGCAAACCACCATCTTGGAACTTTTTTCAAGGGCTAACAGAGTTCAGAGAAGAGTGCCACTGACTCTTCTGACAGTCATGACAGACCAGATTGGAATCCCAGTAAGGCAGTTTATCAGAAAACAAGGTCTAGGAAGGGCCATGAAACTTTGCTGCTTTAGTTCATGTCATTCTCTCTACCTGGGATGTCCTCCCTTCCTCAGTCTCTACCAAAAAACCTCCATCCATCTTTCAAGACCCATCTCAATTATGATCTCTGGGAAGTCGCTCTCTTTCCCCACCTTCAGAGCATGATTAATTTTAGAGTGCATTATGCTTTGTGAGCACTTTGAACAGTCTGTCCTTTACATCATGAGTTATCTGTCTTCCTTCCCCGCTGTAGACAGTGTCCTGCTAGAGAAGAACCCAGTCTTAGTCATCTTTGTATCCCTAGGGCCTGACTTGTGGTCACTCAGTAAGGATTTGATTGATGGATAGATGAATGAATGGATGAGGCTGGAAAGAAGTCAGATAGTTAAAAATTTCTCTAGTATCAAACAAAAGGGCTAACATAAATGTTCAGTAAATAAGTTTGGAATGGAATCAGAGATTCAACGCCTAATTGGAAATCACTATACTTGTAAAAGATTTCCATGTTGCAATTTCTTTCTTTATGAAACAGAAATAATGATAGTGTAACCACCTGAAAATCCTTCACTGTAGGTATTGGATTAATCTTCCATAACCACACCCACACCCATCAATGAAGTCTTTGATTTCTAGAAAGAAACAAATAATGAAATGAATCGTGGTCCTGTGCCTTGACCAAAGTGTCATCTATCAGAACAGAATTTAAATAAGTCAATGAACTAACGTTAACATATCCTATAACAAGCAAATAAATGATAGTATATTCTGCTCATGAAGTTGTTATGAAAAGTTAAAGTAAATTTCACCTACACTAAAGTTATTTTCCCTCAGGATCAAAGTTTGAGAAATGAGAATTCCTTTAAGTCTTTTCTACTTATTGCCTAATTATACACCTAGATATTTCTACAGTATTTCAGAAACTCTAGTTCTAATTTTTATAATTAAAAAAATTACTGCTTTATCCTGAGCACATGTTTCCAATAAGATCTTCAAAAGGCCTTGTTACATAAGATTGGTTTTCAACAACTACCTTTCCCCATAGAAAAAGATTAGATATTTCAAGTTTTTTAGAGAGATAAAGCTGGTACGTGCCACTATCCCTGCCCAAGAGCTGGCATATGTGGGTTGGGTTCTTTTACTATTTTACCGGAAGGGTATAATAACTTACGTGGAGTGAAATAAGGAGCCGTCCTTTTCTAAGTAGCCTTCATAGTGGACCAACATCAAATCCCCTCCTTTGGTCTTGCGATGGCAGATGAACGGCTTCTGGAGAACTTCAATCTTCACTTCTGGTTCTGGGATGAGAGCCCCACTCAAACAAGTTACTAACAGTGTCAGGACTGCATTCCACAAGAAAAGCCTCATGTTGCCAGGGCAGGAAAAAAGTTGCTACAAAAACACAAAAAGGGCCCCCGACCTCATAGAGTTAAGAAAGTAGTTGAAGACTTAAAGACAGCAGCCTCTGGCAAGTCATGACTCCCCCTTTCCTAGCAGACGTGGCACATTCACCAAGGACAACTTTCCCACGCTTAGCGAACTCACCTCTAAAGAGTTAAGCCCAAACGCTGCCCTGACTGGCTCTTACAACGCAGGCTCCTGGAAAGACGGCCTCCCATTGGCTTCTGATTCTGTCCCTCAGGCGCCTCTTAAGCCAATGGTGTCACAGTATTGCAATTTGCAGTTCCGCTGAGGGGAGGTAGCGCAGAAACAAACCACCCGGTGTGGTCCTGAAGGCCCGGGGATTACAGAATTCCACAATTCAGGAATTGGAGAGAGGGGTGGGGAGCAAAGCTAACCGGAAACCTCAGACAGATTCTGAGGTGTAAAGAATTCGCAGGGGTGTGAAGTCCTGGGTCCAGGGGAAATGGCACAGGTCTCGGGAAAGACTCCTTTCGTCTCACGGTTGGTGAGAGAACCCGCCCCCTTCCCCCCAAACCCCCGCACACCCAAAAGTATGGTAAGTGGGCTTCCGAGGTGGAGCAGTGGTAAAGAATCTGCCTGCCAGTGGAGGAGACGCTGGAGACTCGGGTTCAATTCCTGGTTGGGAAAGATCCCCTGGATTAGGAAATGGCAACCCACTCCAGTATTCTTGCCTGGGAAAATTCCATGAGCAGAGGAGCCTGGTGGGCTACAGTTCATGGAATCGAAGAGATTCAGGTGATTGGGCACGCAGTCATGTAACAGTGATTTAGGTTTCAGAGTGCTTTCCGGTTCTTCGTGAACCTCACTACTCTGTGGGTAAGGCAAGTTCTTTTATCCCTCTGAAAAATAAGTTAATATTTTGGCTAGGAGAGGTTAAGTGTCCTGCTTAAGGTTATTGAGCCCCAAAAGCTGTTGAGCTCCATCATCGAACCATCTTCTGATTCATTCTACAACACCACACAATATTATGATCACAAATAATTTTAGATGACCTTAGTGTAGAGGGTCAATAATGAGAAAAGACCCTGCTGCTGGGAAAGATTGAAGGCAGAAGAGGGCGACAAAGGATGAGATGGTTGGATGGCATCATCGATTCAATGGACATGAACTTGGGCAAACTCTGGGATATGGTGAAGGACAGGGAAACCTGGTGTGCTACAGTCCATGGAGTCCCGAAGAGTCGGACACAACTTGGCCACTGGACAACGAAAGTGTAGAGGGTCAATAATAGACTCTATCAAGGATAAGGATGTACAGACCTCTGTTTTAAAGTAGAAATAGTAATCAGAGTTATGAATTACACAGGCTAAGTTTAAAGATTTTGTTTTACATTTTTTGCATAATTTCAAAAGCAATACTTGTTCATTGAAACTTGACTTGGAAGAAACTGGAAAACACTCGAGTTTCCAGTTAAAATACAGGAGTCACAGCATAGTGCTCTGTGACAACCCATCTGTGGGATGGGGTGGGAGGTGGGAGAGAGGTTCAAGAGGGAGGGGATATTCGTATCAGCTCAGTTCAGTCGCTCAGTCATATCTGACTCTTTGTGACCCCATGAATCGCAGCACGCCAGGCCTCCCTTTCCATCACCAACTCCCAGTTTACTCAAACTCATGTCCATCGAGTTTGTGATGCCATCCAGCCATCTCATCCTCTGTGGTCCCCTTCTCCTCCTGCCCCCAATCCCTCCCAGCATCAGGGTCTTTTCCAGTGAGTCAACTCTTCCCATGAGGTGGCCAAAGTATTGGAGTTTCAGCTTCAACATCAGTCCTTCCAATGAACACCCAGGACTGATCTCCTTTATACCTATGGCTTATTCATTTTGATGTATGGCAGAAACCAAAACAGCATTATAAAGCAAGTATCCTCCCATTAAAAACAAATAATTAAAAAAAAATACAGGAGCCTAATTAAATTGGAATTTCAGATAAATAGCAAATTAATTTTTCTGTTTTTATTTGTGGACTCTGGCAACAGATTTTGCAAATAAAAGGTTTTATTTAATTCTTTAGATTACACTAAAGAAAAAGAAAAAATCTGTAATGCCACCATGCAGAAATAGTCATCAACATTTTGGCACATGGTTTTGTGACTTATGCCCAAAATAATTAGGATCCTACTGTACACTGTTTTGTAACCTGCTTTTACCACAGAATCTATAGTTAACATTTTCCCTAGTCAAATATCCTTAGCACAGAACTTTCTCACACTTTAATATGCATGGGAATCCCCCCTGGAGATCTCCCCTTCAGGAGTTTGCCGCCTTGCATCAAGATCCTACATTCAGACAAGTTCCTAGGGGCCTTCAGTGCGGCTGTGCACGGACCACACTTCGTGCAGCGGGGGTTTCAGAGTTTAAACGTCTGTTTGTGCTCCCTGGTCACTCACAGTATTCTATAGTGAAATTCCTATCTTCTCCTTACGCCCGATGGTTGGGTACCCCCTCAATAGCCTTGAAGTGTGTAGGATCAATTAGCCTTGAAATAAGAGGCTCTGAAGACTAGAATCCAGCGGGCACCCTAAGGGGCCACGGTGGCCCCCAAATATCGGGAGGTGGAACCCATCTAAGGTACCGCAGAGTCAAGGCTGTGTTCCCCTTTGTCCCAGAGGCCTCCCTACTCCCTTCTTATCCTCCCTCTAGTCCCAAGACTCATCTTCCCCGCGGGCCTCTTTCACTAGGTCAGCCACGCCGGTATCTCAGCTAAACCCCGGAGTGGATTTTGGGATCCGGCGCGCGGGCGGTGCACTGGGCATGCGCGAGCGGGCCCTGAGCCCGGTGGGTCCAGCACTCAGGTAGCGCGCCGTGGCGCGGCCAGCGACCGGCTACTTCACTCGCGACACTTTGGTGACTTCAGTCGCCCCTCGGACCCATCCAGGACCTTGGCCTCCTTGAGGACAGCGCGCCGCCTGCGGCGCCTGGGACCACCGGCCGGCCGCGTCCTCACGTGCGGAGGCCGCCGCAGTGACCCCGCCCCCGGGCCCAGGATGTGAGGCCCGCGGGGCGTCCTCGCACTGGGCCTGGGCGCCGGGAGTGGCCGGCTCGGCAGCGCCGGGCGATGGCCCTGCTGCCGGTGCTCCTCGCCTCCTGGAGCCTGGAGCAGTGACGGGGCCGGCGGGCGAGGGCGAGGTGGCCGCGGGCGCCATGGAGGGGGTGCTGTATAAGTGGACCAACTATCTGAGCGGTGAGTGGGGGGCGTGCCAGGGTTCCAGTCCTTTGTCTGAGCCGAGGGAGGGCGGCGTCGGGACTCGCCTCTTGGGTGTCGGGGTCACGGTCTCTCCTGAGGCCAGAGAGGCCTGCGTGGACCGGGAATGTTTCCCCGCGGCAGTTCTCTGTCTCCCGTGCGGTGCAGACACAGCCCCCTATGGGGCTGGGTGTGAGCGGCAGCTCTCCTCACTTCCGAATCCTGAGATTTGGGGTGACTTGAAAGGCACGATGTCCTCAGTGTCAGCGGGAGGGAAATGCTGATTCCGGCTGTGGGGTCCTCTGGGAGTCTCGAATTCTGACGAAGGAGCTGGTCTCGGGAAGGTTTCAAATGAATGCGAGCAGAAGTCAAAGGTTCTTTTTCAAAGTCCCCAGGTACTGGCACTTTCCTTTCGTCACTTGCAGAGTTATCTGAGTGCAGACCGGGATATCTGACTCTCAGCTCCAAAGTATGCACGTTTTTGGTTTTCTCACCGAACATTTCTTTTTGTTTTACAGACTCGGAAATGACCGTAAAATAGGATGCAAATGTTAGCAGCTCTTTTCTTGCCCTGCTGAACAGAATGGCTTAAAAATAGAACCCCACCCCCTTTCCAATTTATGGAAGTACTTCATATCTTGAGAAGGTCATAACTATTTTTCAGCTGTGAATATGATTCAGAAGGAGCATTTTCATAAATGAGTATATAAATAAAAGCCTTCTGTGCGCTGGAAACTGTGCTAGGCACTTTTTTGAAATTAAACTTTTTATTATGGAAAATGAGGTAGGCAGGCTCTTAGCGTTTTAACAGCAATGTATTTGAAATGAGAAATATTCCCAGGGATTCTTAAGTGGTGGAGGTGTATTTTCCCATCCTGTGGAGCCTAGGATTTTTTTTTTTTTTAGGGTTGTAGTATGATTCTCTGGGCCGTTTTAAGCACGTTTGTGTCGGGAGGATCAGTTGGCAGTAGTGAGTTTGATGAGGTTATAAAGCACAGCTGAAAGTGTACCTGTTGGGGGTACCCAGAATCTCTTCCCCATGCATAGTGTGATTACACGTGAATTCTGTTTATTTTTCTTGTGATCATTAGTAGAAACTGAGTCAGGAGAAGTGTTTTATTTTCTTTTTTTTTTTTGAGAGGTGTTTTAGAAGACTTGCTCTTTGCTTCAAGATCTTCATTTGATATATTAGATGTAGATACCTCATGACTGGGTTTGGCTGCCTGTTAGGGAGGATGTTTGATCAAGTGATTTGCCTCAGAGGTATCTCTAAGCTCTGAGATGTAGGATCTTATGCCCCTGAGAGAAATAAGTCACTGGTCTTGGTTCTTTCACCCCTTTCCATCACACGTGCCTTTTAACTTATTTCTTTGATCCTCGGTGCTCTTTTTTTTTTTCCATCTCCCTTTTCCCTCTTTTCCCCCCTCTCCTTTCTTGCTTTTCTCCAAGTTTACCTCTTTTACCAAGTTTAGTCTGTTGTTACTGTACCTACTTCCTGCTCATGAAATGCCTTTTTCCCCCTGACTGTCTTTATGTATTCTTCAAAAAAGCTAAATTTCTCTGGAAGGATCTTTGGAATCTTTATCATATGGTTCCCGTACCATCTGTTCTGTTGGAAAACGTCTACTTTTTTCTGCCCCAAGTGAGAGAAGTTAATTTTGTGAGTGATGCCCTCGTGGTGGAAGCCCTAAAGAAACGAAACATTGGAGCCATTGCCAGTGGCTGGCTTTACTTTATTCTGCTTGTTCCCCTGGCCCACAAGCCACCTCATTGTGGATGCACTGTGCATAAAAGGCCATCACACCGTGGGGGACTTTTTCTGGGTATATATGTGCGTGCATGTGTGTGTGCACACTCAGTTGTGTCTTTGCAACCCCATAGACTGTAGCCTCCCAGGCTCCTCTGTCCATGGAATTTTCCAGGGAAGCATACTGGAGTGGGTTGCCATTTCCTACTCCAGAGGATCTTCCTGGTCCCAGGATCAAAACCGCGTCTCTCACTCACGTCTCCTGAGTTGGCAGGCGAATTCTTTACCACTGTGCTACCTGGGAAGCCTTCCCTAGGTATATTTAAAATTACTGTCCAGTGCATTCTGTTTCTTCAGGAGATACATTTACTCTGGAAAGGAATGGTAACAATCTAGGCGAAGCAAATGCATCCTAGTTTCTTTCCTCGCCTGTGCAAGTTAGTCTCTCCAAAAGCAGATAGTGTTGAGTGTTAATGACAAGCGCTAATGAAGACACCATTAATTTTCTTTTCCTGAAGCTTTTTTTTAAAATAACATTTTTTTTCTTATGGTTTTGCACGTAGTAATTTAAAAATACATGTAATATCTGTCTAAGTTTCTGTTCATTTTGAATTTTTCTCCAAAGAGAGTACTTAACCCATTTGTGTATTTCTGTCATATCTACAGCTTGATACGGGATACCTTGTCTCCAAATCTGAGTGAAGAATTAGCAAATCAGTTTATCAGCCAGTCCTTTGAATCCTTGGAGGATGTTGTTAATTTCGTTCACCAGCTGCTGTGTGCTGGGCCCTGTTTTGGGCACAGGGCAAGCAGTGTTAAGACGCTGTTCCTGCCTTTCTTAAACTTACAGTCTGGTGGGAGGGAGACAGGCATTCATTGGATAAGTGGTTAGAAGCAGGTGCTCAAGTGTGTGTGATTTGAGAGGGGAGGAAGGGAGAGGCAAGTCTGGGTCATTGGGGAAGGCTTCTTTTAGGAAAATAGCTAAGCAGAGCCTGAAGGATAAATAAAAGCTGAGTAGGTGGTGAGGCCAAGGCAGAGGTGCAGTTGGAGGCTGTAAGGGGAAACTTTTTAGGCACAGAGAATGTCAGTGTGAAGGCCTTAAAGCTGGATAAAGACTGGTGAGTTTAAGGAAAGAAGACCCAAAAGTCTGGAGAGTTGAGAAGAGGCTCCAACAAGACTGTGGAGATGGGGGGCAGGCCTGAAATTGCACGTCCTCATAGGCTGGTTTAAGCACTGCAGAGTGATTGTTCATACACATGTGCGAGTGTGCATGTGTAAGTAAGAAAGAAATGATGAGATTGTTTAAAAGCTTACTTTGGCTACATTTGTTGTATTTTGCCAAATAATGTGGTTATTTTGTGAGCTTCTCTCGCCCCTTGAATTAAACTGTTTAGGTTTCAGTGGTTTCAGTTACTAAAAGTTGTAAACATCCATCAATACCTCAGAATAGCTGTGTCTTAATTGCTTGCACGAGTGTACTGCTAAAATACAGAAAGAGAAAAGTCTCTTTTCCCTAATATTTTAGGCACACTCAAGTACCCTGTGCTCCATCAGAGAAAAGGAGAAAAGGAAAAGAAAAGGAGTGTCTATGTATTTTCTCTAACATTCTTGAGCTACCCGGTTTTGAGCAGGAGAACATTGGATATTCTGGGATTTAGTGTCCAGCCCTATCTTCACATATTAGAGGATTAAACCTGAAATGGAAAGGGAATGGATTAAACATTTCACAAACATCTCTACTGTGTGAGACATAACACTAGGCCATTGTGAGTTTGTTATTTGTGTCTTTCAAGCCCTAAACGTTACTTGAGGGGTATTATACCTGCTTGGTTATTCGTTAATGCTCCATAGTAGAACACTAGTTGAGGAGTCAAAGAAACCTGAAGTCTGGTGCCAGCTCTGTCACTGCCCGGTGCAAAGTCACTTTATCATTCTGAGCCTTAATATCTTCCTCCTTAAGAGTGATGAGATTTACCCATTAATAATTGTAACAATAGTAAAAAGACTTAAACATTTCTGATGTTCCAGACACTATTCTAAACATTTTGCACAGATTAAGTTACTTAATCTTTGCAGCAATTTTAGGAAACAGTTGACTTTATTATTTCCAGATGAAGACATTGAGGCAGAGAAAGATGGGGGAAGGAACTGGCCCAAGGTTATAGAGTTAGTAAGTGACTCCAGCGTCAGTGCTCCATTCATTACATAATACTTGTAAAGGTCCTTCCTGCTTGGTCATTATATAATTCTAGCTGATTCATAATGTACCTATATTTAAAGTATGTTGACCTAGAATAGCAGACTTTATTTGGGAATGGGAGGTGGGGAGGAGTTTGGGAGCAAGGAGGACTGTGCCTGGTGTTGTGCATGTGTTTTGTCACTGAGAAATTTTCAGAACTGTGCTCTGTGCTTTCTGCTTTCAGTTTTAGTTCGCTTTCCTGCCCACTCAGCACACAGGAGGGCTGCTGTCATGAGCTCTAGCCAGCTGCAGGCTTCTTGGGCCCCTCCAGTGCGTTACAGCACAAGCACATTGCAGTACTGCATTCCAAAAATAACAGAAGCTTGCATCATGCTCACCAGATGATTGTCTGAGAAGGTGCTATAGTTTTGCTTATCCCCCCAGGTAGAAGGTGACTCTTGTCCATATATGTTTGTGCTGGGTAGACAGTACTAAGAAGCCATCTGAAATGTGAGTGATCCAGACCATGGGCTCACAACCACTAGTCAAGCTTTTTTGTTGTAATTATTTTTAAATATCTTTACCAAGATAGTAATTAATTAATCTATCATGAATTTCACCCATTTAAAGTATACTCATCAGTGTTTTTTAATATATTCACAGAGTACAACCATCACCACAATCAATTTTAAAACATTCGCCTTATCCTGAAGAGAAATACCTATTAGCGACCGTTCCCACCCCACCCCCTCTTGTCCTTGGCAACCACCACGGTTGTATACATTTGCCTGTCTGTATAAATTTGTCAATTCCAGACATTTCATATAAATGCAGTAAATGGAATCATACATTTTGTGGTCTTCCTTTACCTAGCATAATGTTTTTTTGCTAGGTTCATCAATGTTGTGGCATGCATCAGTACTTTATTCCTTTTTATTAAGAAATAATATTCTACTATATGGAAATATAATTTTGATTATCCACTCATCCATTGATGAACATTTGGATTGCTCGGTTTTTTGGTTAATATGAGTAATGGTGCTGTGGTTTGTGAAAATTTGTGTCAGATTTTTG